TAACCAGAGAAAGAAGCCAATTGAGCTCCTGGGATATATTAATTACAACATGTTTTGGCCAACCATGTTTTGGTTTTCCATTATGTTCATGTCACCCTTTTATTGTCCTCTACCACAAAACATCACATGGCCTTTCTGGGTATTTCCTTATTATATTTAGCCAGGAGAGGACAACCTACCCCCTGTGGGTGAGGGAACTCCTATGATGTCAAGTCATGAGGCAAAGGATTTCCTTTCCACATTCCCAAAGCTTCCAGGAGTACAGGCAATCCCACAGGCAACAGAGTATATGCTAGCCAAATCACTATGGGAGATCTCGACTTCTGGGAAGAAACTTAAAATCATTACCAAATAAGAAAACTGAAAATATTTTTGAAAAATTTTTAAATATGAGTTGTCTATAATAAAGTTACACTGATCTAGTTTTATAGTTAACATGATTTCACTTTATATACCTCACCATCCTCTAAAATAGGCACATGGTGAGAACTACATTCATATTAAAGATGAGGACAGGGTACTAAGAGAGCTTAATGACTTGCTCAAGGTGACCTGATGGACTCTGGAGCAGGGCTGAAACAAGTTTCACATTATTTCCACTAGTCTCCTTTCACTTCCCTTTGGTATACCAGAGTTAACTTACTAGAATTAACTCTTATACTAGAGTTAACTCTGTAACTTACTGTAATTCAGTAACTTATAATACCAGGTCGTATTATACAAACTACTCTGAGCTGTGATTGTCCAATGTGTTGGATCTATAGAACTGAATTACATATGGAATGAATTATTCTTTTCCTTTCCCCTGCCTTCTTATCCACAAACACCTTCAGTATATATTAAGACTGCACTAAATAGACCATGCCATTTATACATTGCTACAATTCTTTGTTTCTGGATTCTTCTTCCCCTATCTTATCTGTGTTCTCTGAATCCTATGTTGCTTCTATATATGCACTTTAAAGTTTGTTGCTCCTTCTTATAATTCTCATGACACAATGTCTAATCACTAATAACAGGTATAAAGAACAAATACAGAGTCTAGAGCAGTCTGTTGTTCCATAAATGTTAGCTCTTACAATGATGATAATATCCATTCTATTAGTTTCTTAGTGCAAATACAAGGATATTTTCTTTGTGTTTAGCATATTTATATTAACAAAGTCAGTATGTGGGTATTTAAAAAGGCAATTATGATGGGGAGGTTATATAAGTAATTCTAACAATTTTATCTTACTTTTCATGGCGGTAACATTGTTTTATAACATTGTGTTTTCGAGCTATAGGATCACATCATTCAGGAGCATGTGACCATACCGTAACCATCACCACGGTAACCAAAGTCCTCCACCATAGTCCACTGGGTCCCTTCCACATTTTGCTCTAGGGTTTATTAGTTTAGCTTCATCTGATACGTTGTTTTTCTATATTCCGTATATAAGTGTCACCATCCAGTATTTTCCTTTCTTCTTCTGACTTCTCTTGGCATAATCCCCTCCCAGTTGTCACAAATATTAAGTTTATTTTTATCGCTGAGTAATATTCCACTGTATATCTATACCACAATTTCCTAATCCACTCAGCTGTCCTTGAACATTTAGGTTTTTTTTTTGGTTCAACATATTTTTTTTATTATAACAGTTTATTTTTACATCATTTTGTACATTTTTTTTTCATCTCAATTGTAATCCTCACGGGTTTCCCATCACCAAGTCACCCGTGTGCCATTACCATAATCCTGTGCACTTCCCTCCCCACCCCCCCATTTTTTATCCCATTCCCCACTCCACCCCAACAAAATGTCTCTGGTATATGGTTGTTCATTATTCTTTGAACATTTAGGTTTTTTACATAATTTGCCCATTGTAAATAGTGCTGCAATGAATCTATGAATATATATATCCCTCTGAATAGTATTTTTGCATTCTACAGGTAGACCCAGGAGTAGAACTGCTAGTTCCTATGGTAGATCTATTGTTAATATTTTGAGATATCTTCATATTGTTTTGGAGGGCTAAACCTGAATTTTTCTACATTCCCACCACCAATTCTATTTTCCACATCCTCACCAATACCTGTGTCTTTTTAAGATGGGCCGTTCTTGTATGCGTGAGATGGTGTATCATTATGGTTTTGATTTGCATTTCTTTGATGATAAGTGATGATGAACATTTGTCATGTGCCTGTTGGCCATCTGCATGTCTTTGGAGAAGTGTCTATTTAGCTCTTCTGTACATTTGGTGATTGGGTTATTTGTTTTCTTTTTGTTGGAATTCTTTGTAGATTTTAGATACCAGCCCCTTGTCAGATATATGGAGTGCAAATTTTCTCCCATTCAGTAGGGTGTATTTTGTTTTCATAAGTTTCTTTCTCTCTGCAGAAAATTTTTAGTTTGATGTAGTCCCAATTGTTTATATTCTCTTTTATTTTCCTTTGCAATAATAATTTTAAAGAAATGCAGCTGACTCACAAGCACATCATATTTATGATTGTGAAATGGTCTTCGAGAACAAGTAGCACAATGGCTCTCAAAGTATGGGATGCTGAACAGCAGCAGTGCCTGGGGGTTGTTAGAAATTCAAATTTCCAGCCTCACACAAGATTTGCTGAAGAAACTTTGGGGATAGCATAAATCTGCATTTTTTTTTTAAGATTTACTTATTTATTTATACAGAACTGGGGTGTACAGGGGCAGTGAGGATTCACCTGAGACAGAGTGGGGAGCAGAACAGGCAGATCGACGAAGTACTCTGCTGAGGGAAACAGTGGACAGGTCAAGAGAGGTCTGCTCGCCATGTGGGTCACCTCCTGGGCGTGTGGAGATGGATCTCATACTGAAGTGGTTTTAGCTTCTTAATGCTCTGCTTTAACCCGCTGAGCCACCAGGGAGGGCCCTGCATTTTATTTTTACAAGCCCCTGCCCCAGATAACTGACATGCAAGATAAATTTGAGAACCACTGATCTAGTACCATAATCTAACTTAACACAAAGAAAATTAAGGCACTAAGAGTAAATGACTGAGTTGAAGTCATAGAGCTAGTTGACCGCAGATAGCACTGGGATCTCATGACAACTACCTGACCTTAACATTTCTTTCTTCCCATTGGTTACTTAATCTATTTTTTAAGGGTAATTCTTTATCCAGTTCATATTAAAAGGTTTCTATAGTTAGTAATGTTTACTGGAGTAGCAGAGAATCTTAGCTTCAGGATATTGGCCTATGTCTTCCGGTTCACCCTGTCATTCTCCACAGAGACATCTGTGGCAGCTCTTCAAGAGACAATATGTGGCCAAGGCAATCAGCTGACAACCAGGAACTACAGCGCCTCTGGAATGTGCCTTTGTGTTAAAGCCAAGAACATGGGTTCCTAGTCGGTCAATCACCTGAGTACATTAGGGTCTGGTGATTTCTACCCACTGTGAAATTTCTCTATAATATTTCCTTTGCAGCTCCATGAAGACTGGCTGAGATCCTCCGTGCTGCTCCACAGTCTGATCTTCCTTTCCCTATCCTTTCATGGTGTCACACTTCTACCCAGGTCCAAAGGCTTTCTGTGTCTATTCCTGCTTTTGTTCCCCTTTATGTTTAATAAGGGTTACCTCCAGTAAATCTCTTCTAACTCCCTCAAGGCACATGATTCTGACACATTACTCCCCTTGAGTCTCAATTTCCAAATGAATATAAAGAGGTCATAAGAGTCATTTCCTAAAGCAGAATTGGGAAACGATGAATGGCTGCCTTATTATTACTAGTCATTAGATTGCCAACGTCTTAAGGTTATTGAGATGCTTACATAAAGACCCTGACATAAATGTGTATCTGTTGCTTACAGACTATTCAGAGGATCACCCATATTTCCAACCAGGTGTGACAATGTGACAAATTCTGACCAATATGCTGTGAGCTGAAGAGATGCATTTTCATGTAGAACAAAACACAGAAGAAAAATGTTTTCTAACGCAGGCAAATTGCAAAGGTATGTGTTTAGGTTACTGCTCCGTGATCTGGAAACTAATATGGAACTCAGTTCCAGCGAACTCACAAAGGATATTGTGATCTGGATAAAGCTTTAAATGGCTAAGCACTGAGATTTTGATAGTAATCTGTTACCACATCTTAAACTATCTTGTCTTGTCTAAAATAATTAAGTTTTGTAAAATACACAGTACCATGAAGATACATGTCATTTTCATTTTACCATCTCACTTTGAAACATTCTTAACTGCAGTGGGGAAAATTGTGTATGTTTTGCCCAAAGCCCCTGCTATCTAATAGTAGAGTGTTTCTGTGAAACTTCTGTAAACCAAAAGGGCATTAAACAAGAAGCAATTATCATCACTTTATATGGAAAAAATTCTGAGCATTTTCAGGCCCCAAAATAACCTATCAGATCACACCAAATAGCACATAAAACCTAAAATAGAACTAACATAATAAAGACAGGAATGATTTGATGAATACACAGCCTGCATAAAGTAGGAATGAAGTAGGCTCAGGGTAGCCCCACTTACCGGAATCCAGAAGACAGCAACGCAGCAGAGGCTGGAAAGTGACGGTCAGGTGGTGTTTGTTAGTCTGCGTCCTGAGGTTGGGGTGGTGGGAGGCAGTCGGGGCGGCCAGGTCTCTGACATCGCCCTTCACCTTTCTGCTGCCTCGCTCTGGAAGGCCACGGCCGGTCATCTGCTGCAGCTGAGGTGGCCGGTGATGGCGTCAAGCAGCTCAGCAGGTGCCACTGCTTAGCTTCACGCCGCCTCCTAAGGCCAAGGCTTTGCAGGCGCCGGACATCCCGCAGGCCTGTCCTAAAACCTGAGCCCCTTCAAAGTTAGAGTCTCGCTGTCCTGCCATCGCGGCAGCACCTGGCGTCTCAGCGCACCCCTCACGCCAGGGCTTCGGGCCAGGCCCTGGGCAAACTCCCTTCGGCTGCGGCTCTGGCGCGGGGCTCCCGGCGTCCAGTTCACGCCAAACACACGGGCCTGTGAGCGTGGCGTTTGGGGCCCCTCAGGCCACATCTGGCTCAGGGGGCGCAAACTGAAGCAGGGGGAGCTCGGACCGCCTTGGCATGTTCAAGGCCACGGCCACGGCCACGATGTGCTGAGCGGTCCGGGTAGGAGCAGGCGCTGCCGGCGACTCCAGGGGCGGAGGCCTCGCAAGGAGCAGCTGCTGCCGGAAAACAAACCTTGAAACGCGACTGTTGCTTTCCGGCCTTTGTCGTAAAAGCGGAAATGGCTGGATTTCTTGCGTGGGTAAAAACACCAACTTAAGGCCTTTTGCGAAAGTGAAGTAATGTAAAAAAAACAACTTTGAACTCGGGGAATACCTGTGTCCCTATAGCATCAGGATGAAGATAAAATTCAAAGAAGGAAGATAAAGAAAACTTGATCTGGGAATACAATTCCCAAACTTAAGGTAGGAAAATAATGAATCACGGGAGGGGGCAGCGTGCCGCGTCAATCTTATTTCGCAGTTGTGTTTTTTTTTTTTTTAATTATTATTTTATTTTAAATATTTACTTATTTATGCATACAGAACTGGGCTACAGGCCAGAGGTGAGGGGGGTGAGAAGATTCACTAGAGGTGGAGTGGGGAGCAAAAGAGGAAGATTGACTCTGCTGAGGGGAGCAGTGGGTGGATCAGGAGAGGTCAGCGGTGCCATGTGGGTCAGCTCCCTGGCCGGGATCGAACTCATGCTGATGAAGCTGTGGTGAGGGTTAACCTCCCTGTTGTGCCACCAGAGAGGTCCCTTATTTGAAAATTTTTACTTGGAAGAATTCCAGAATTGAGTGTATATTCCAGGAATCGAGTGTCAATTCCAGAATTGAGTCCTCCAGGAACATTATGTAATTAGGTAGTAGAAGGTCTTATTTCCTGTGTTCATTTTGGTAGGGTGAAAGAATGAGCATTATTCAAATTCCTAATTTTTGCACGAAAACTAGAACAAGACATTTCTACAGTGCTAGTTTCTGTGTAAGTCAACCTGTATACACTGGGTAGGCTCGGATGTAGTGTAGAGAACATCAGCTGGTTTTGACCTTTTGAATAGTTGGTTTGTTGATTAACTGGCAATTCTTTCTTTCCAGTTCTTAGACTACCACCAACCTGCAGGAGCGACTGGCAGTGGTCAGCCAGAGTAGGGAATAATAAAAAGGCCAAAGCTGGATAAGGGCCAGATTTCCTAGCCACGGGAACGTTTGGAATTTCATTACCGTCAGAGAAATGGCAAGGAGTAGTACTGGTCCATGTGCTGACTTTTCAGGAATAAGATTTCAACCAGAACATCTTCGAGGGAGCTCATATCTTGAGTTTGGAATTAGAGAAGTGAATTTCTCTGTCTCTTTGGAGACAGAGTCAAAACTTAAAAAACTTGGAGTTTCTAATGGCAGAACCTAGAAAAGTATTTTATATCGATATTACCTTTAACTAATTTAGGGTGCTCACAACTTAATGCTGGAATACTAACACTAGGTCACACATTTTTGCATTAAGGAATGAACTGCAGTTATTCTTTGGGCAGAAATGGAGACCTGTTGAGTTCAAAGGTTTTGCAAGCAGTAAAAAAAGATAGGAAGAACATCTCTGTGAAATGTTAGTAAGAATGGAATAATTATAAATTTGCTGTTTTTGAGTTACAGATCTGTAATCAATTTAGTTTCCTTTTAAAGCTGTTACATTTAAAAGGTGAAGTAGCCTGCCTGGGTCATGTTCTATAATATGGTATCCTAGGAAACCATTGTTCTCAATACCCTTCCTTGCTCCTTCTTTCTTTTCTGAATGGAATTGATGACTTTCAAGCTAAGAAAAAATTCAGATCAGATCTTCTGTTCTAGATGTCATTCTTCAAGGGTAGCACATGTGTAGTCTTAGGATTAATGGGTCTGGCTAGAGGCTAAAATGATTAAAGGCTGAATCTTATGAAGGCTATCTATATAAGGAAGACTACTCCAAAGTATTTTGGTGTAAATGTTACTTTGATAGCACTACATTTGGGGGGAAGGGATGAAAATGACTGATTTTGAATCACAATGACCAGAATATTCTTTCCTTCTGGAGAGGCCAAAGCAGCAGCTGAGAGAGAGCTGGAGACTCAGAGACAGTATATGCAGAATCACTAAGGGAGAGAAAATTATCAGAATAAAAAGTATTTGGTAGCAGACACTTCATAGTACATGTCAGAAGTATTTCTCAACAACCACTACTATTTCAGTAAACATTAAGCACTTTCGTCACAAAGACTGATAGCTGGAGTTGTTTTTGGTTTGCATTGATTTCTTTTGCTTATTTTTTTGGTAATCAGTGACAGTACACATTAATGCAGAAACACCTAGAACAAAAACAACATCTAAGGATTTCCAGTTATGGTGATGTAAAAACGAGAAAGATAAGGAGGTTTTTCTGTGACCAGGCTCGACTTGTCTTCCAACAACAGTGGTTAGTATTTTTGCCAATTCCCTATTTCTACGTCTGTCCCTCATACTTTCTTTTTCCTCTCGTTCTTTTTCTAATCTCTGCTCCCTTTCTTCCGCAGTCTCCCTTTTGTAGAATACTTTTTCAGCCTCCTTAACTAAGTCCCTAAGGGCCATGTCCTGCAGTCCGTCCATCCGCTGGAGCTTCCTCCGGATGTCAGTGGCTGACTGACCTATGAAAGCCATTGCCATCGCCCCCCTATGCTCATCAGACTCAGGATCAAAAGGGGTATATCGCCTATAGGCTTCCATTAGTCGTTCTAAAAATCTGGATGGGGATTCCTCAGGCCCTTGGGTCACCTCTCTTACCTTAGCCAAATTGGTAGGGTGGCGTGCCGCCGCACGGAGACCTGCCATCAGAGTCTGGCGATAAAGCAAGAGTCGCTGCCTACCTGCAGGCATATTAGGCTCCCAGTTAGGTCGTCGCAAGGGGAAAGTCTCATCTATAAGGTTTGGTAGCTGAGTGGGTCGTCCATCAGGGCCAGGGACCAGTTTTCTGGATTCAAGAAGAATGCGATCCCTTTCCTCAGAAGTGAAAAGGACAGAGAGGAGTTGCTGACAATCATCCCAGGTCGGCTGATGAGAGAACATAAGGGACTCAAGAAGATCGGTTAGTCTGGTAGGGTCTTCTGAGAAGGGTGGGTTATTTCCCTTCCAGTTATAAAGGTCAGAGGAAGAGAAGGGCCAGTACTGCAGCACCGGCATGTCCCCCCCTTGTCCGTCAGGAACGGGGGGTCCAATGGGCTGAAGAGGCAGGGTAAAGGCTACATTATCTGGGGGGTGTGCCCTCCGGCTCCGAGTCCCATGTGCCGGGCCCTCTTCCTGTGGGTGTCCTTGTGCGATCAGCGGAGGGACCGGGTCACAGTCGTTAGCAGCAGCAGGAACGTTCCTAGGGTATGGGGGAGGGGGACCAGAATCGAGGAGAAGGAGATCAGCTTGAGACTCAGGGAGGACGGAAGGAGGAAGAGGAGGGTAGAGGGATGAAGGGGGTGCCGTTGGCTCTGGTGACGTCAGGGGAAGAATAGAGCAGGTATCTGGAACAGAAGAACTAGGACAGCTCGTGGTGGCCGAGGGAACTGCCGAGGAAACTGCCGAGAGGACAGCAGCAGGTGGAGGAAGAAAGGGTCGGACCCAGGAAGGAGGGTCAGTAGCCAAATCTTCCCAAACCCAGATGTAAGGTTGTTGGTCTGGGTGGCCGTGGGGTCCTGGGCTGAATATGATGGCCTTTACTGCCTTGATGGTGTCCTTATGGAAAGTCCCAGAGGCTGGCCACCCAACGCCGAGAGTAGGCCATTCAGACGTGCAGAAAGTCCACCACTTGCGTTTCTTGATGACTAAAGACAAATTACGAGCGCGGTCATCTACTTCAGACCAGTGTGATAGGGTTAAAGACAATGGGGTGGAGAGCCCTTGTCCCATCTCATAAACAAAAAGACACACAAAGAAGGCGACAAACAGGACAGTGGCAGAGACAAACAAACAAAGCCAGCTACGCCGTGAACGTCAAAAAGAAAATAAAATCCAATCTAATGGTCCGGACCTACGAGCTCGAATGGAAACTGGCAACAAATTCACAGAATCTGTCTGAGATAGCAAATGGACAGCCAAGCGTCTTTGGTCGTCCGCTCACTCCAGGGCATCCCCTGAAGACGTGGCCTGCGACCCCCTGACACGTCTGTCGGTCGCAGTCAGGAGAGACTCACGTCCCAGCCTGACAGCCACCACCACCAGTTTCACTCACCCAGTCAGTCGGTTCAAGCGAAGGCAGCGAACTCGGTGGGACCTCCAAATGAAAAGAGTTAGAACCAACGACAGACCGACAGACCGACAAAGACTCAAAAATTCAGAACTGCAGAAAAATGAAAAGAATTTAATACACTCGCGAGCGGGCTCAAGGTGAGGGGAAGGCCAAGAGCCCCGAGCTATTACAGTGAGCAGTTTTTAAACAGTATTTTAGGGAAGGGAGGGGGTACATTTCAGAGGCATGGAACGAGGAAGTTACAATGGTTTTTAGGATGGCAACCGGATGTCGCTGTTTTTCCGAGAGGTAGTTATCTTTTGGTCAAAAAGGAATTCTTCCCTGCTGAACAAGTCGGGCCTGGTCACAGAAAAACCTCCTTATCTTTTTGGTCAAAAGGGAATTCTTCCCTGCTGGACAAGTCGAGTCTGGTCACAGAAAAACCTCCTTATCTTTCTCGTTTTTACATCGATACCAGTAGGTGTTTTGATAAGAGAATGACTTTCACCCTTCCAGAATCTCCATCGCTTTCAAAAGCGAACCCAAGACAAATTAATAATTTATGAAATAGATAATGAGTAACTTCTTAATCCTAGGTGAACTGTAAAAAAAGGAAATCTTTAGAAAGCCTTGCTATGTAAATTGACCTTGCATATGCAATGTAAACAGGAAATGTGTTATTTACTATGCAGAATTTCAAGAGGAATCCTCTAGTTCTTATTTATTGCCCTTCCTCACTTCATTTTCACTGAAAACACACACTGAAGTCATCCTGGAATCTCTTAGACAATAATTTCCCAAAACCTTCTATAGAATGCTCAATATTTAGTGGAAGGGAATTTGAAATTCATGTCAAAGGTCTATTATTTCTTTATCAGATATTTACTGGCTACTGGTTAGGTACTTCACACTGAGGCTGATACTGATTGTCACTGCTTTATGACATCTAAAAATGTTCACTGTCAAATTTATAAAAAGAAAGTTCCATTTTATTCTAGTGTGTGATTTATAATATCTTTTTAAAATTTTAATTTTTCATTTTTCTAAAGCCCTATTTATATCTTAAAAGTATCAGAGGTAGTCACACACCTCAATGGTATTAAGAAATTACCCATTTTCCACATCATATTTATTCATTTTGCTTAGGTTAGCTTTCAAAAGTAATGGAGAGTCTGGAATCAAATGTCAAAGTTGGAAAATTTCCTAAATAACACCCCTTCCAAAATATCACCTGATGTGTAACTCAACTACCATCAAGTAGTTGGTATGGGACTTCAAAGCTATATTCTATGATAAGTGATAGAAAGAAGTAGGGATACTTTATCTGAGAGAAGTAAACACTCTCCATAGTTCTTTTAAGTACATGAAGGCTCATGGAGAAGAAGGATGCAAGTTGTTTTAAATGATGGTGAAAATTAAAACTAGAGTAAGAGGTGAAAATTAGACTGAAATATAGCTGCTCATATAATCTATGTAATAATAAAAACTAAAGATAGAATTGGCTACTGGAAGGCAAAAAGTACAAGGATAGAAGAGAAATTTGGCAAAAAAAAAAAATGTGTAGAAGCATTGCAAACATCAAATTGAAGTTTGGACCAGAAATCCATTCCAATTCTGCGAGGTCATGATTCTAATGGGTAAAATGAAGATGAGGAGCCAAGGATATGACAATTTCATTTGAGTCAGAGAAGATGGAAATATATAAATTTAAAAGAAGAAAATCCATAGAGTTGTAGAAAGGTTTCCTCTTAGAGCCTGAAATCATATAGAGATGAGAAGACATGCCCCTAGCGAATGATCCCTAACGCACTGGAATAGTGCACTCAGGCTCTGACACTGTGTATAAAGCAGAGGTAATCTAATACTAAGAAAGAGACATAGAGTGGTCCGAGTTATATAAAATCTGAGCACATTAATATTTCTGTCAGTTTAACCAAGAATGTTATGGCATATGTGTCGCTAGGAATGACAGAAGCTATTACTGAAATGAGATTAGAATCTCTTTGAAATATCAACAGAAGCATTATAGTTGGTAACATTCCCATCTAAAATAGATGACACTGATGCTACACAATCAACATACTAGGGTGAATAGCATACAGAATTACAGACTAGATTATTTTGTTCTGTTTTGATTTTTCCGTTTGGAGTTTTGAATACCTGTTAAATCAATTAATCTTCCTTGATTCTATGTATAATAGAAAATTCTGTTTTGTTTTCTTGTGGGGAGTTAGAAAAGTGGGTTAATGTGTGGATTTCCTACTATTTATTATGACCACTAGGATGTACATTGATTGATCAACTAAATGGGTAAATAAGTTTCAGTTCGCTCCTGGATTGGGGGAAGGTGCTTCTCAGTGTCCTGTTCAGTGCTGCTGAGGGTTATCTGGCTTCTCATCTTGGTCTGTGCAGTGTGAGGTCTGTATTCCAGGTTTATAAACCCCTTCAAAATCAAAAGAGAATAGGAGGATACGTTAGTATTGATGTCTGTTGAGGTCATCTTCCCCATGAGCCATCTTCTAATGACTCAGGTGGCATCAAGAACCTGCTCTAATGATTCCCCTAAGGCAGGGATGATAACAAGAGATATCAAACAAGAGCTCCAGTAGATTTGGGTAGGTAGAAAGCAGGAAAAATTCCTGAAAGCCATGCCTTTTACTACAAATTGTTTGAATTTGAGAAATAATTAACTGACATACTTGACTTTGAATGTGGAAGAGCTTGGGCCTAAAAGATTCAAAACTACATAGCAATAATAGATGTGATCCTAGCAGAGAGCTAGGAACACTAGGAAAGTACGGAAAGGAACTACTAGAAATTCAAGAATGTCTTTGATAAACTCATCTACATGGCAGAGGAGAAAAGTCAAAGAAGATGTAATAGAAACTTTAAAAAATAAAATGCGAAGAGAGAAAAGAATAAGAAAGATGGACCATAATATTCAAGACCTGAGGAAAAGCTACACAAGATGTAACATTAGTGTAATAAGACTACTAGAAGGAGCAGAATGAAAGGAACAGACAAAATATTTGAGGTAATTCTAGCTCAGAATTTTCCAAAGTTAGTAGTGGGCACCAAAACTCAGATATGACAAGTACTAAATAAATTTAAGAAATTAAAAATTAGATAAATCTATATCCATTTCTATTCTATTCAAACTGAAAAACACACACAAAAGGAAGAGGAAAAAAAAAACCCTGAAAGAATTCAGTGGAGGAAAAATATCACCTCACTTTTAGAGGAATAGGCATAAGAATTGGATCAGACTCCCTTTCACAAACTCCGGTCCCTCAGCAATGTGCTTTGTTGATCTGCCTGTTCTGCTCCCCACTCTGTCTCAGGTGAAGCCTCTTACAGCCCCCCCGCACCTCTGGCCTATACCCCAGTTCTATATGCATAAATAAATAAATCTTTAAAAAAAAAAGTCAAGGAAAATAAAGGCTTTTCTTAGACAAACAAAAATTAAGAGAAGTTGTGGTCAGTATACCTTATCTACCTTTTAAGAAAACTTAAAGGAAGGTCTTCAGAGAAAAGGAAAATGACAGGTCAGACTCTTCAGTTTAGCTGCAGAAGGGAAGAATTTAAGGAAGAGAATAAATGAAGGTAAAATAAAACTCTTTATTAGCCTTAATTGATCTAAAAGAATCATAATAGACTGAACAGTTTGTTTAAAACACTAATAGTGACTCTGTTTGGAGAGTATTTCTGAGAAGTCAGTAGTACTTGTCTTTATCCTTTTTATGTTGTTCCTTAGATAAGTCATGCCAGGATTACAATGTAGGAACTAGCATTTGCTAAATGTCTACTCTGTGTCCAGCATTTTGGCAGATACTTTCTATGAAACAATTTAATTTCCACAATAATCTTGTAAAATAGATCTTGATACCTTAGACCCTAATGAGGAAATCAAGTGTCTAAGATGTTTAGTAATTCATATTTTTTTGCTTATAAAAAACAACATTTGCACTTTTTTTTTTTGGCCACAAAATATCCTTTGTTGAACATGAGGTCAAATTCATTTGCACAAAAACAAAGATATAAGGACAACACATATATAGATAAGAAGAGAGAAACTAAAATAAGAAAAAGAACAAATCAGAAGCTTATTTCAGATGTACTACTTTATTAAAACAAAACTTGATTGGTTTTTGCAAAATCAAAAAGCAAGTAATGCTAAGAAACTTGGACATCTATAAAAATGTGACTTTTATAATCTCAGTTTGTGAAAGGAAAGAATTCAGTGGAAAACACAAAAGTTGAATTTTTGTTGGTTTTTTTTTTTTTTTTTTACCTTCACCAAGTCCCATAGTCTTTCTGGTATTATAGTCACCACTACCAATTTACCTTCGTCAAATGTTTTGTTAAATATGGAATGCTGGCTAGGAGAGAACTTGAGTATGCACAAGCAAATCTGAGTCTTCAGCTTGAAAATCAGAGAATGGGCATTATTATGCATGTTATGTGACAAAGATGTAAAAGTGAGAAAAGGACAGTCATAGTGAGTCCTCAAGGAACCCATTAATTCAAATGAACACATATGTACAGTGAGTAGTCTGCCACATTGGAAGTCTTCAGTAAATACAAGAGAACAAAGTAATTGTCCTCCTTACACCCTGGTCCATTGGTAAAGACACAAGATTTGTGAATAAAATTTATCTTGCATGTCAATCCCCAACCACTG